CTTAGCATTGGCACGAAGCTGATGGTGTACAAATCCATGGTACTGTCCGTTCTTCTATACGGCAGTGAAACGTGGACAATGTACCGTCGGGATGTGCGATATCTCAAGCGGTTCCATCAGCAGTGTCTGCGACGAATTTTGCGGATCGGCTGGGGCGCCAGAGTTGCAGACACGGAAGTTTTGCGCCGAAGTGGAATGTATGCAGTGGACGGCATACTTTTACTGCGACACCTGAGATGGCTGGGTCATGTGAGCCGTATGGATTCGGCGCGGATACCGAAACAACTTTTGTACGGTCAGCTGAGCATAGGGAAGCGGCACGTGGGGAAACCAAAGTTACGTTACTAGGACATGATTAAAGTGAGCCTCACACGTTCTACTCTTGATTGCAGATCATGGGAATCGAAAGCGGTTGATCGTGATGCATGGCGTGATCTAATCACGAAGGCAGTTGCTGAAGTGCGGGAGAAAGCCCTCATGAATGCAGAGAAGAAGCGGCAAGTGCGGAAGCGACAAGCACCAATGAATTATACTCCATCGACATCGAGCGCATTGTGCTGTAAAACATGCGGTCGTGAGTGCCTAAGTCAGGCAGGCCTAGTGAGCCATGTGAGAGGTCACTCGGGACCACTGCCGAAGCGACGACGGGTCCTGCAGTGAACGTAGGCAGCACCGGCGCAGCGTTTGTAGGCACGCTGAATTCGATTTACTAACCGCATGCTTGCATGCTATGTCTCTTTATTTCAGGTAGTGGGTTTTCGGTTTTCTCCCAATGTTTTTCTTTCTCATATAAATGTCTAGTGGGCCATGAGCTATGCCATTAGGGGCCACTACAGAAGCGACGACGGGTCCTACAGAGAATTACGGCGAGCCGGCGCAGCGTTTGTAGGCACGCTGAATTCGATTTACTAACCGCGTGCTTGCATGCTAAGTCTCTTTATTTCAGGTGGTGGGTTTACAGTTTTTACTTTAATGCTTTTGTTTCTCATATAAATATCTCCCTGTACTCTATTCCATTAACTTGCGCACATCGCCTAAGCCAATTGTATTTGATTTCCATAATATTTTTGTGTTCGTGGCATTCCGTGAACTATATTTCCTGACCTCGTACACTTAGCTAGGATCTGTTTGTAAACAGTTTATTACATATGCTATTTAATTAAGGTTTATATCACCGTTTCCTTATGCATTAATCGAGTTTTTCTCTTTTTCAGTCTCTCTCTCTCTCTCAAGTGTTTGGCTGTTGTTTGATATCCCCGGTGTGGATGCGCTTGATGTGCATGTTGACAAGGTACCTACCTGTCTGCTACCCACTACCTCGTCCATACTGGCTCCAGGAGACAGTTGGTCGTTGCTGGAGGGGACGGGGTGCACGGTTCTTGTGGCCGTGTTAGGATCAAAGAGTGGTTCCATGCAGTCAGTGTGGAGCGGACTACGGTCCAGCCACCGCCTTGTGTGCGCTTGATTCCCCAAATACAGCGTGCTTGTGTTTGCCTGTGAAGGAGTGTGGGCCGGCTCCGTTGATGAAACGTGGTTCCCATCCGCATGCCTCCCGGTCTTATTCCTTCGGGTTTACACTGGATATGGGGTATGTGGTTGGTGCAGCGCAAGCCATCCATGGTCCCTCTGTATTCTCAGGCGTCCTGTGGCTTGCCACAGTGACAGGCAAATCCGAAACCAGATGCCGCCAACCATATATATATATATATCAGGAAACTACCCCCCACGTGTCGCTAACGTTGAGAAAGTGGTCTCTGATCCCTGTACTTTTGCAGCATCGCCCGTATCCACTAGTATCATGGATTTAGGAGCACTAGCGCCTGTCGATCAGCATTTGGCAACAACCCTTTCGGTGTATCGTTGAATCATTTGTGGAACATTACTCGCCCGCTCTGACCGGGTCCCATTCTCCGCATACCCCTTTGCTGTCTCTCTGTGCGTGCATCGTATTGCTGGTACCCCACACCCTCCTGTGCTAGGTAAAGCCATCGTATGGTTTTTTGATGAAACGGCGAGATTACCTTATCGATTTGGTCAGGGCGAGGTATCCTGTCTTCCTGGACAGGGTCCTCAGAGTGGTCCGCATCGGTAACCTCATACTGTGCGACGCATCACTTACATATCCTAAGCTATTTGTCCACTAAGTCTATGGTATTGCTTAACCGTGTTGAATTTGTGATCTCTGGAGTTTGCAATGACTCATTTCAGTTGATTAGCTGTGATCCGGGGAGAAAAGAAGTGAAAGGCATTAGCAGTACCGACGCTTCGCTGCCCCGCAACCACCACCGGTCGTACGTGGGATAAGGATACCGCGAGGGTTGCCCTACCCCTACGCAGGCTCCAACCCGCGTCGTCAGATTACGAGCTTATTAGCTTTAGGCTACGGGCTGACTGGGCACCGAAGTGCACTTGCCATGGATCAGTCCTCCAAAGAACAATACTTAACAACGGCTAGAAAATGAGGTTGTGAGCAAATAAAATGCAAAAAAGTATGGAAGCAAGGAAGAAATGCGTTATACTAACACGGATGGATTGAAACATAGCAGCCAGGTACAAGAAACCGAATGCAGGGACGCCATTGCAACCAATTGTTGCTATTCTTGTAACTAAGTCGACATCACAGGATAGGGGCTGGATGATAGGACTCCCATTTGTTCATCAGCGTAGTATTTATGAGGATCGACTGCAGTTTCCTTTATGGTTTTCGCCGAGGCGTTGCACTCATTCACCCTCCGTATCCTGTATGCACTTTTGTTGACGTCGCGCCCACTGAACTACTGTTTGCCTTGGAACGCGTAGATAGTCGGCTTCTACTGATTACGGCTGCTAGTAGACACAGTCGAAAATAATCAGCTTATCTGAGGTGAATGCATCCTTCTAACCTAAAACTTTTTATATTACTCGTAAGTAGCTGGATTTGTGTGGTAGAGGCTCAGCTAACACTGGTCAATTCATTTACAACGGAGTCATGCCGCATCGATTGCACTAGGTGGAATACAGAAATCAGAATAGCTCCCTTTAGCTCCGATCCATTAATGTGGCACTTGTTCCCGTCGCTTCTTTTCCCGATTGTCCGATTTCATGACAGCTGTTCTCAACACATTACCTTCTCATATCCATTAACCTGCTGAGGAAGCCCGGTGGTAGAAGACTTTCAAGCCCCTTTCCACGCAGGTTGCCTTAGCAGAAGCTTGGAAAAACGCAGTTTAAGGCGCATTGGCTAGGGAATAGCTGATGAAAGCGGTTTCGCTTTGGTGTCATCCAATGCAATCACTTTTGGCTTGGTTTTAGTCAACGAGCACGCCTACGGGTCTTTCTCGGGTTCTACCAGCACGAAACTCCTTCTAAGTCTCTTATCACTTTTGACCATTACAAACGCTTTCTATTGTGTTGTTCAACTGAAGGTTTTGTTCAGGATCTTTATTTTCTCATTTGGGAAGGGGACTATCCGCGATTCACAATAACCGTGTAGGTTATTCGAACTGTCGGTGGAAGTGCATTAAAATCACTCTGCACGTTGCATGGCACGCTGGGGACAAAGGCGACATAGTGTTGCAGGCTGTATCAGATGTAGTGCAGTCAATCCAGTTTTTGCATCTAACTGTTAATATTCCGTCCCCAATAAATTTCCTTATTTCCTACTCCCTTTTTCTTTGCAGTCTGTTTACGTTCTTCCTCATGTTTCACCACAGTTATCCTTGTGACGCTAGTCGTGTCGGCTGGATCCATCGCACTTCATTGCACGGATCAGTTGTTTGACAGCCTATGCTGATTGGGTCATGTTGTTCACGTGCCTGCCGCGCGTCTGCCTCGGGATCCATTGTTTGCTACCACTACACATAGTTGAATGAGATACCGGGCTGCCAATCGATGGAAACCGATAAGAAGCAATTGACTGGTCACCGTTGGGGTCTTCATACCCGGCCTAGTCCTTTTAACATTCAATCCTGATGTGTTTTGCCCGTTCCTCTTGAATCGACTTTTGCTCCTTTTTCAAAAATACCTTACTGTTGTCTGACTCAACGTTGCATCTAAGGTTACATGTTTGCTTCCTTTTTATCGTTTAATGCACAACGTTCTCGCTTATGAGGTCCATACAAGCTATGTGACGATGTAAGTTAAGTTGACCTATTCAATAGCTAATCCCACACTTCACACGCGGCCAACAAGTGTGCTCCCATTCTGTTGCTTTTTGTCTTCTATTCCCCCCCCCCGCCATCATGCACATGGCCGTTGGTTAATCTACCTTTGTGTTCGTAATTACGTAATCACTTCACAGATTTCTGCGGCACATTTTAAATGGTACACATGTGCGAGCATTGGCCACGAAATTGAAAAAACATTGCACTCGGTTTCTTTCTGATCTTTCGCACTTTACTATATGTAAGATACCGAAAACCAACTACCTTTACCCAGACAGCCTAGATGGTCAAAACACTGTACCGCTTCGCTTCACAGCCCCCTCAATTAATACGATCCTCTTCTTCATGCACTGCAGTGACCACTTTGACACGTAAAGATAATTCCTATTTTCTCATTTCATGTTATCATCACCGCGTATTATTCTCTACCTGTTGTGACACGGAAAGACATGTCTCTTCCTCGAGAGTCACGTCACTACAAGAAATTTTCACTTGCACCACTATGAAGCGTTCATTTTCAATTCAACTAACTAAACTGAGATTTTCTCTTTCATCCGTCATGTCTGACTCAGGACTTTTGTCTGCTTGGGCCGTTACCTTTCAGCATTTCCACTCCTATATTCGTGTGGGTTACCAATTGGATAGATGTGAAGTTTCACCTATTATTGGGATCTTATCCCTACAGAGCTCGTTTGGCTTCGCACTCCATACGAGCACCTCATCTGTCATAAGATGATATTTAATCATTTCCCGCCACAAATTAAGCAACTTGCGTTCCTTTGTTACACGGTCTTTTTACACCGTTCTCCCCCTCATTATGCTCATGTTACTCTGACTTTCCCCTTCAGTTTCATCAACATGTTTCAAAACGCAACCGGAGCTTCCGAAACACCTGCGGGAACGAACGCAGCGAATTCGACGGCATTTACTCCCAACGCCTCAGCAACACCGAACGCTACACCCAGTGATACCGCTCCGTCTTCCACCGCTAGTTCCGAATCAACGAATCAATTTCTTAGACTGTGAGCAAATGTTCCTATTATTTGCTGCTTCCATTCTTTGCATCTGACTAACGAATTACGCACATACTTTCCTGCCAAAATTCGCTTAGTAGCAGTAGTAATCTCAGGTGTCTATCAACTAGACAAAGAGCCAACAGAAAACTATGGAGATCACTAGATAAGAGACACACTCGTGATTTTTCTCGTTGTACACCTTGCCGGCCCGTAGCATTACCGACCACAAACCTGTCTTGTAATCTGGGGACGCGGGTTCGAGCCTTCTAAGGGACGGCGACCCTCGCAGTATCTTTAGTCCACGTGCAACTGGTGTTGGTTGCGCGACAGTGAAACGTCGGTATTGCGTACCGGCTAATATCTTGCCTTTTCACACAGTACACAGCGAAGGCCGTCTATCTCTACCTCCGGTGTTATGTTATTTATGAACAGTAGCTCGAATGTCTATGTATATCGACGTCGCTTCTCACATTAGTCAGATGCTCACACTGTTTCTGTGGAACCTTAAGGCAGCTGTGAATACACTGCGTACCCGTTTTTGCCCTGCCAATCCGATATTTGCTTTAGATCTGTATTAGTGCATCTAATTCTCACTCTGGAACTGTTTGTTATATGTAGACGCGTATTGCGTAGTCCCGAGCTAAGCGGATTAGAATGGAAATTTCCGATTCTGACTTTATCCTTTTCTCCTTTTGTGCTGCAATTCCTTATACGTTTGGAACGGCATCCCCATGTGACAACTTGGAACACATATTGTGGTAATCTGTTCTATCATTTAGGTATCAGTTTCCTCAGGGACTCACATGGCTTAAATTTTCGCTTCTTTTGGGGTATTATTGGACTCTCTTGGCCCGCCTTTGTTTATTAACTGCTTTGTCGATTGTGCTATCTTTTGTCCTAAGGAAAGCAAAGTACCCTAACTGCGTTATTCGTCCAGGAGCTTGGTCACCCACGCGAATCGGATAGCTTCCCTTCTCACTATCACTACCGATTTGTTTTCTTCGTTTCCAAATGGTTCAACATAAATTTCTTGTCCTGCTAAGCAACCCATTTTCCATTTCAGGGGACAGCAGTTGGCTCAACAAATGCGTTCAATGAATCCGGAACTGGTAGATCAGTTACGCCAGTCCTTTCAAAACATTTTCCCACCCGGTTCCACTGGTTCAACTGATGCTCCGCATTGAGCACATATTAACGTGTTTTCTAGGCTGCATTCTCCTGATCCCTTCGGGAAATGGATGCCTTGTTGAGCGTCCACAGAACGTGGTGTTTGCCTCTTCTGGTTTTGAAGTTACCGGTTTCATCTATCGTTTAAACCTATGTTCTTATCTTTTCGACTTCACGCTTACACTGACTCCATGGGCTCATTGACGGCGCGCGCGAGAGTTGCCCATCGGCCGTGGATATTTTGAACCCGTGAATGTGTTTATTACCATCATTCACAACCGCTTCCATCCTTTCTTTGCTTTTGCTGCATTTCCGGTTGCTTTTTTGTTGTGTCTCGTTCTGTTGGATATTGAGCCTCAGTTAACAGCCCGGTCAATTGGCGGTTTGCTGCAATTTTTTACTCTGCTGAATGATGGTTTGATTTGGATGTTTAACATTAAACTATTCTTCCGTCTTTTATCTCAGGCTAATACTCTTCATTGATGGGACTTTTTCGACTAGTTTCTTCACGAAAACATATTAATCTTGGACTTACTTCATTTTTTCTCCACAGATTGTGTGGCACTTTGGTGTCCACATTCTTAGTCGCATCTCCTAGCACCCGTACCTATGTACGATGTTAGATCAATCTGCGATTCACTCAACCTTTCTGTGCATTAAACTATCAGCAAGAAATCATCGTGTTCCCTCTGTGGCACATTGGTCGAACTTTAGCTGTGAATTCCCCAACTCTATTTTAGTGCGTTTCGACACGAAAAAACATGTTCATACCACCTGACAAGTTCCTTCAATGAAACGTGTCCTAATTTCCCCCTGGGAATCAAAAACCAAATCTGAGACTTAATCGAAATTCCGTTAATCAAATAATGCAAGTTCCTTTTATATAGCACGTTATTTTCTTAACCAGCGCTCAATCTTTGCTCATATCCGTCCAAATCAATTGTACCATCAATCCAGTCTACATAATTACCGTGGAGTTGTATTGAAGGCGATCGATTTGCTTTCAAGCTGTTGGCTCTATGTTCGCTCAACTCTCCAGTTCGATCCGCCACCATTATGCTCTGTAGTACCATAACACCATATTTGTGCCCAAACATGTGGAATGTTGCACCCGTTTGTTCGTGGTCCACTCACTGGGTCATCTGATCTCCGCTTTGTCATCCCATCCACCGTTTAGAATCTTCTGATCACCTCCCGTCCATGATGCATGGACTTCAATCTGGTCCTTTTCACTTCATGTGTCTCAAATACAATCGTATATTTCGCATCCTATAAGTTTCTTTTTTCGTATCAAGAAAAAATCTTTCCACCTGATTCGCTATCCATCTCTTTTGTCAGCGCTTCTCATACTCGCAACTACGTTGGGGTACCTTCCGTTTCTGAGTTCGGATCATCTGTATTCGACTTCTTGAGTGCTCTCTTTGCCAGTCATATGCGGTTTTTCTAGCCATTGTTTGTATACTGAATACTTAAAGTAAGGAGCGAGAAGGTATAAATGTGTTGGTCCGTCGTAATTAGATCAGACATCTGCACAGAATCACGTCGCTGATCATGCATTGCTGCATTACATCTTATCCGGGTGTGATACGTTCCCTATACCTGAAATCCGCAGTGTGCGTCGAGGAATCTTTTAAATTCCGTCACCGATTTCCCCTCGACTATTGTCTCCAGTAACTTGTTCCAATATTTCACCGCTCGAAGCATAGAGGCGAGTGATACGCTTCGAATCCGGTACCACCAGTTTGTACGGGTCTCCGCTTGTGCTGCTTGATGCACGGACGTGCAACAGTGACCTCAGAATGGGGAAGTGGCCCAGGTGTATGAGACCAACTCGAAGCCGACGATATGAAAGGGTAGAAAGCTCTAGTCTCCTAAATCGGTCCTCGTAACATACCCCGTAAGCTAGGGATGAGTCGGGTATCCACATGTTGAACCCGTTCCACTTTCTTCAGCTCACCTATTGTGATCAGACAATAGGCGAGTGAGCCGTACTCAAGCACCGCTCTTATCATGGAAGAGAACAGACGCGTGGCAATCTCTTCAGACAAAGTGCAGAAGCTGCGTCGAAGTGCCCAAAGCAGAGGTGGTCCGTTTATGTACAGTCTGTTCATGCTGTCGACAGACTTCAGATCACAGCGTGAGAATACGCCTAGATCCTCTACGGAACTGATGGGATTCAGCAGGCGGCCAGTCAGGGTGTACGCACGCCCATTATCACCGCTCCCCAGGTTCGTAAACGAGGACTTGACCGGGTTGACCGGTAGGTTAACTTCTGCAGATCACGGGGAGTCTATCCGAGTGCAAATCTCTGTATATCTTGTAAAAAACGCCTGCAGTACCTACATAGCACCAATCAGATTGCTATCTCGTGGCTTCACCTTGCGCCTCACAAGTGGTCGTGTTCCACTATCACTGGACTCCGATTACTCTATTAAATTTATGGTACCCATTCCATACCCAATGTTTCCGAATGGATGAGTGGTTTTCTGTTCCGACGTTTTCTATTGTTTTCGGTCTCCTTGGTCTAATCCTCACTCGGTTTTCCCACTTTAGGACCAGCATCACTTAAATGTACCGATGTTCTGTTGTGGTTGATCTGAATGATGATGGTGGTTGGGTCATCATATACAAATTTAAATTAGGACAAGGCTGAACCCTCCATGCTTTTCATCGTCCTTCGGTAGATTTTGGTAAGCATCATGCTATCGTCGTCATTGTGTTTGACACCTGCCGTTGCTAATGGCGTCTTGCCATGCTAACTCCAGTCAGCTTTCTTTTAAAAGGGAATAATAAAATGGGTCTGATTGCAAATGAATCTGGACGAATGAGAACTGAGCATTCTAGAACAGGCTGTGGGGATATTTATTTCATCAGAGAAGCGTTGCGTGATCGATGATAATTCGACTTCCCCACTGACTTCTTCATCACATCACCTGACGTGATTCATCCATTTGTTGTCTATTTGCACGTGCACCTTTGTGATTCGGGCCAGACACGCATACAACTCACATCATTCTCTCATCATTATGCTTGGGTTAGCTATGCGACGGTGATTACTGGCCACCCCCCACGTATTCTAAAAATCATCCGGCCGCTTGCAGGCATTCACTTAGCTTTCGGTCTTATTTCTATCTCTGCTACTCAATTGTTCCCCTATCTTGGTCGTGTGACGGTAGCTGGGAAAAATTATTTAGACAGAGTTCATTTCTTTGTAAACTTGCCTGCCTTCTTATCATTAACTTCTATGACAATGCGACCATTCCGAACAGATTCAACGGAGAGCTAGTTTGTTCTTCGGGGGGGGGGGGTGGTTTCGATGGATGTGATTGTTTTGAACCACATATCTCAGAATAGAACTTTCTATCTGCGGCATGCAACCGCGATTTATTCTGAAGTGAATCTCGGTTATCTGGAATAGATAAATGTTAGGAGCCATTTGCCTTCAACTCCATGCTCGGTCTTCTGCTTGTTCGCATCCTTTAGTTAGAATGTCGGACTCGGGTTAGGTATTGTCACATGAATCCGTTGCTCCTACGCAACTACGCTTCGCGAGTGATGCTTATCACAGCAGTTAGATGCCACCTGCTCCCGTTTCGGCTGCGTGTATCTGGAAGACGCAATCGTGCACGGGACCGGTCGTGAGGTGCGTCACTGGGGTTGTGTGCTTTTTCGTTCTACGTTTATTCACTACTCGGATTCCATTATCGAGAACACAACACAATAGTCACTACATCGCATCGTTGTTGTGAGGTCGGAACTAACGACATTGTTACAAATACATCTATCTGGGAGACAGCATAATTCATGTACAATATTGGGAACAATAGGGAGTATCTTATATCACAATTTGACCCAGTTCACTTATATCACATTGTGATCAGTCCATAGAATAGAAAAAGTGGCACCACTGAGGCGTTCTGTTGTCTACCGGAATTCCGCTGGGGGAAGTAGAACCAAGTCCGGATTGACGAGCGCGTCTCCGGCGGGACCCATCGCGTTCGACGCGGTCTGAGAAGCGATAGCCGGGTATCGGCGCACCGTGTGTGTAATCTTGGGCACACATCTTTGTCTGGAATGCTTGCGCTCTGCTTTTATTACAGTGAGTTTAAGGGCTGCAGGATTTGATTTGCACATAGGGCTGGTATCGTTTTTGTCCAAGTTATGAGTGGAGTTGGACCCAGGAACTTGTGCTGGCTTGCGCTCCACTATAATCGCCCCCGTTAGCGTTCCTTCGTTTGTCGAGGGAATTATCTGCGTGCCAGGTTGTCCACCTGAAGATACCGAAGATCTCGAGTCTTGGGAGCCCAGTCGATGGAATCGAGGACGTCTCGCAAAGTAGAGTGACTGTGCCATCCCTTCTTCTTTTGAATGTGATTCCTGAAATCAAAAAATCCTTCATAGGCGGATTTGCAACTGTATTTGAACTACTAACAAGTAGTGCATTCTTGTGAGATTTAGTTAGTAGCTACGCTGGGTTGGTCGTGGTTCACAAGCAAGGGAACACTGGCGACCTCCTGCCAATGAGCATCTGGTATGAGCTGAATCAAACGCTTATGTAATGTCACCACATCAACCCACTCCTTGTACCAGTCACCACAAAACTGAAACCAAAGTCTGCTCGTTTTCACCCCCTATGTCCGGACTAGAGGTGTCGTTTCAGAGGTGAGCAAAAACCCATCCGCACAGAATCCTAGTTTCCAGATACAGTGTACGGTATTTCCAGTTTTGATTAACACGTGCTTATGCTATATCGATTCACATGAAGGTACCAGTGTTTCTGGTGTGTGATTTCTCATTAGCAGTAGGATGCGCCTATCCTTCCGTTACTAATCACCGAAAATTTGACTCCATTGTTTTCCGGTGGCAACTCTATGAACACAGCCAATCTCGCCACTAACCTGTTCACTACCTGCCCCCTCAAGCTGTCATCAAGACATGATTTGTTACCTGACAACATGGCTTTCTTACTTATCACAAACCCAACTGATTAGATAGTTGAGTTAAAAAGTTATTGGCGACTGACCAGAATTCAGATATGGGACGATACTCAAACCTCTTCGTTGTATTAGCTTACTTATACAACTCGTTCATTAACCTCTTATGCATTAGAGACATGAACTCTTGCTACATTGGCTGTGCTCTAGGTCGAGAAGATGAGAAATGCCTATCTTTTCCTCTAAGCAGCAGCGCTTTTACTTCACTTGTATCGGCAGTCTGATTGCATTTGCGTTGTACACCCCCCTAGTTGGATATGTGCGAACACATGTATCGTTCGCCATTAGTTCTTTTCACCTAGTCACTCTCCACCAGTTAACATACACTGCTAGCTCTCATTATGCACTACTGAGTTCGATTCGGGATTCATCTCCGAGATGCATGCAGCAGTGTAATTGATCTACGATCCTCCGGCTTGGCTTCTAATACTGATGAATGTATCCTTAGCTCGGTTGACGGCATGTCAATTGCGTAGCGTATTCAGTGTTGCTTTCAGCTTAAGTCTTCAAAGCGATATACTTGAATGGATTCTAGTGAATCACCTCGTTATGCGGTTCACTTTCATGGCTCCATTGCAATTTATAAGTCACATGTACATACGTAGTGCCCTTCATGGTTTCGTATGTATCCGTTGACCGCGGACGCCCAACGAGTACTTCTATCGGCAGCTCTCAGTCTTATGAGCATAAACACACATCTTACGGTCACTGCCAAGTGAATCATCCCTTTGTTTGATATATATATATATATATATATATATATATATATATATATATATATATGTATAAACCAACTTACACTTAAACCAGGTCTTTTTAAGCTAGCTAAATTTCATTCCGCTTTATTCGGTTTGTTCTGCCTAGCTGAATTATCTTCTATTAACTGGCCACGTTGCTTACACTAATTGCGTTTACCTTCGGTAACCCTGTTGCGTTTGTAGCATTTTTAAGTAACTTGTGGACATTTTTCCTTATCTCGGATTCGTTGCTAACAAACTTCATATGCTAATTTAGCGAAGAGTTATGCCACCGAATCTGCATGCATTATTAGGTTTGTTTTATTTCGTCGTTTCAAGTGATTGGCTGTTGCTTGCTATCCCCGGTGTGGCTGCGCTTGATGTGCATGTTGACAAGGTGCCTACCTGTCTATTACCCACTACATCTTTCATACTGGCTCCAGGAGACATTTGGTCGTTGCTGGAGGGGACGGGGTGCACGGTCCTTGTGGCCGTGCTAGGCTCGAAGAGCGGTTCCATGCACTCAGTGTGGAACGGACTACGGTCCAGCCACTGTTTCGTGTGCGTTTGATTTCCCAAATACAGTGTGCTTGTGTTTGCCTGTGAAGGAGTGTGGGCCGGCTCGGTTGACGAAACGTGTCACCCATCCACATGCCTCCCGGTCTTATTCCTTCGGGTTTACACTGGATATGGGGTGTGTGATTGGAAATCCCGTTTACAGGACACGACTTAGAAGGTGTGAAGCTACTCCCAGGAGAACGACTTCTTGACTTAGAGTATGCTGATGATATTGCCCTCACCTGTGACAGCTCACAAATGTGCCAAGCGGCACTGGACAGATTAGCACTAGGTGTCCGTCACTTCGGGTTTTGCTTCGCACCCTCGAAGTGCAAAGCGTTCCTCCAAGATTGGTCTGGACCGCCCCCTACGCTGACCGTTGGTGGGGATCAGCTAGAAGTCGTTCAAAAATTCAACTACCTGGGAAGTTGTATCAGCGCCCGTGAGATCGAAGATGAGATCACGAACCGTATTGCAAAAGCTCGGGGCGCTTTTGCTAACCTTCGCCACTTATGGCGGCGGCGCGACATCACTCTTGCCCTGAAGGGTAGAGTCTAAAATGCAGCAGTACATTCGACCCTACTGTACGGTTGTGAAACCTGGCCGCTTAAAGCAGCGGACCTGAAGAGGCTAGTTACGTTCGACCACCGGTTCCTCCTTGATTTAGCTCATATCTGGTGGGAACACCGCGTGAGCAACGAGGGTGTCCGACGCCTTGTTTATGGCACAGGAGAAGGAACTGAACCGCTTAGCACCGTTATTTCACGCACCAGGCTCCGATGGCTGAGCCACGTGTTACGCACGCCAGCCCACCGACTCCCGCGACGTGCGTTGTTTGCGGGCCGGGGGTGTGGATGGAAGAAGAGGAGGGGTGTCCAAGCGATGACTTGGTCCAGAGGAATGAAGGCCTTCACTTCTGTGTTGGTATCGGTTGGAGTGTCACGGCTCCATGGTTGGGGTCCGAAAGACGGTGAACACGTTTGGTTGGACACACTTGCTGATATGGCTAGGCGTCGACCTCAGTGGCGTTCGTGCTGTGAGTTTCTTTGTCCCACTTCATCACTCTTAGCCTCCCCCTCCAACCACAATCTCATTATTTAACCTTATATAATCTTGCATAGTAGCCGGCTGGTAGCTTGTCGGAACGATGCCCATTCGTTACCGGTAGCTCAGCCGGCTTGCCCCAGTTGAATTCTTTTTTTCTCTCTCCTTTTTTCTGTGTATTGCGGCACAATAGCTGAGGTGTTCCCCACCTCTAGATAAGGTGTATGATGATGGGTGTGTGGCTGGAGCTGTGGGTGATGCAGCGGAAGCCATCCATGGTCCCTCTGTAGGCGCAGGCATCCTGTGGCTGGCCACAGTGACAGGCAAATCCGAAACCGGATGCCGCGAACCCAATTTGCTGCTGCTTCATCAGCTACGGTCCTGGTGATCGAATGGCCAAGGTTCACTTCAATGGGAATCGCGGTCCACTTTGAGATTGCGCGTCGCAATCCATCCACACAACGTGTACTTCAAATTGACTTTCCAATCTATATATATATATATATATATATATATATATATATATATATATATATATATATATATAACACTTCACCAAAAAACGTTTGGCAGAGTGCCACAAGACATGTGTAGCAACAACAAACAGGTGGGAGAGAGTCAGGGATATGGATGCGACGATCCACGTGTTGTGTGGGAAGAGAGCTCCCCTTGGTTTGACGATCAAATGTTGTCCTATATATAATGGAGAGATCTCCGGTTGTGTACATACCATAAACTTTATAACGACGGCACCGTTTTCCAGTACAGGCGTTCGGATTTCGCACGCCTAACGGTACGTTGCCCCGTATGAAAGTTGGCTATCATCAACAGCCACCGATGATTGCAAGATTGCCATTTGATCTAAAAGATCCAATCGGATCTCGATCATATCTTACTCTGCATTCACCATTCCTGTTATGGCATACCAATCGTAGTGGCAGCTACCCATCCCTCGCGATTGGATCCACCCTCTACAGCTTATCACACTTAAAGACGAACTGAATTTGGATTTGTACAATATTGGATGGGTCCAATGCCACTCGAACTTAATCACAACTTATTGTGAGAAAAGCCTTGAGATTACTCGTCCTTTGTGTGTATGTCATTGGCCGACTGGTTCTTGAACCATCGATTACTCTGCTTGCGGTTCTGCAGATGATTCTGTCGTTTAGCGGCGTCTGAATAGAAGTTTCCAGATTGATTGGAATTGTTAGTGAATACCTGATTCTCATGGGATTGTGGTGATTAGTCTTAATCAACACAGCTTAGTGTTGTTTCAGCTTCTCTGAAGCACGAACAGAAGAAACGCTCCCGGTAATGAAACCTTGGGTAATTGAGATAACCTCTTATAAGATTCCCGATTTCAATGCTGAATCGAACGTTTCGTCGAATGACTGGATCCAGCGATCATATCGTCATCCCATCTCCAGCCTTAACTTTTTCCATCTTGTATCTCACTTTCCGGTGATCCGACATAGGTTAATACTGTTAACTAGTGGTAGTGCTACTTGGATTGTTCATCTCCATCCATCGTCACTTACGGATGATGGTGACCTGCTTATTGTTTACCTGTTCAATGCTATGGTGATACCTTCAGATTGTCCGTCGTCATCCCGGCCACTATGAGGACCATTCGACATTATGCAAGAATCATCGAGATCTTCACCTCATTGCCACCCCTCGGGACTGCTCAAATTCACTGCATTTGGTGGATCGCTTGTCACCGAAAATGTCGAATCAGCGAAAACCGGGATAGCTTTCATTGCGGGAGAAAATACATTGTTCATATATTCACTCCGTCTGGTGCTCTGATAGCGCGACATGTATCTGCACGGCCCACCATCGCAACCCTCTGTCATTTATAGTTTGATTTTAGTCTAGACTTGCACCTCGATTTGCGAGGGTGCCTCGTTTTAAGTTACGTCGGAGAAAATCTAAGTAAATAACTGAACTCGGGTTTAGTAAGAGACTACGGGAAGCTCCTACTTCTATTCATGACATGTAGCTTTTTGTTGTTTTCGCTTTGTACTCTCTGCGATTGTGTATTGTCCTGGATTGCTCATCTCGCTTTTTGACGTATCAACAAACCTGTATTGCGTGGACGGAATCTCATTCGGACTCATCAGTTTAAAACTGTTGTTGGATGACCTGACGTGCTGCACTTTATGCGTTTAAATCTCCTCGGCAATTTCTCGGTTGTAATCCTCCGTTTTTCAACCGTGCCGACATGCCTGGCTTCTCACTATCGCCGAACAGCTGCTTCAGTTATTCAGTCTGGCCGATGATCCAGATTGTATTCTCACCATAAGTTTTATTCATTATAGTTTTAAGCAAACTATTACATAACTTGCTGTTTCCTTAATTGTATACTTTTGTGCTGAAAATTTTGTACACTATTCCCAAGGGTCTCTGTCCAAGTGACCATTTGATTCTTGACTTACACCCACTTGTACGCGCGAAGACACTTTATCTTTCTTCAGCCAAATTTCCCATCATCAGCTTCCTAATCACTTCAGACAGCGGCTATACGAAGCAGGTCTAGTCATTTTGTTATTGTGGATCCTGTTTACTTGGTCCTCACGTTTCCAGTGAGATTACTTATTGGTTTGTGGTTGCTTTGTATCACGCACAGTGAATCGGTATCCTCCCACGATTGTTTACATTTCATGGGCACTCGTGCAATTTGTTCATTGTCACGATAAACCCTTGGATACTTCCCGTCCTTCTGACGAAACATTTCATACTCAGGTCCCGTTTAATCACGTGGTAACCGTTGTAGCTATGGCTGCACCACGCCTGAATCGTTGTCTACCTATGCGGTTGACCACACCCAACAATTTCCCCACACTGGGCAGGTTATATCAGAAAAGATGAGGCACCACAAAGTGGTAGTCGGTCTCAACTACTTCCGCACTGGTATTTCTGTGGGACTGCGCGCAGGTAGCAGGCACTTTTAGTGCACAGTTTGGATGTCGGCGGTTCTCACTGATTTTACCCATTAGATGGTTTCAATGGGGTAAACATCGAGGCTGCTAATCGTCACTTCTACTTGAAAATCACCTACTCTAGCTGCACACGATGACATTGTCCATAAGGGTCATTGCGTCCTAAGCTAAACTAAGACAGCATAGATCTGCACGGTCCGTGTGCTACAAGTTTAAATAAGCGACAGCATGCTGCAGTCGAGATGCCACTATTCAAGACACGAGCATTGGCGTTCAATTTCTAAAATAGATGGACGTATCCTGACATGAGGTATGTTGACGAGCGCTTTGTTATGACGTTCCCCACGTATCATCTATCTTCCTGAATCGTGTGACCTTTGATTTCAACTATTCTCTCCTAGACATTGATATTAGGCTCGAAAAGGCCGTGTTAGAGGTTACTATGGTTACGCGTCTCCGCAGCGCGCTACTAGTTGTACCAGAAGGACGATGCATTACGCATGCAAGTTCACTGTCCGAACCGACACATTACAGTCGCTCTTTAAATGTCCTTTAGTGCTTTCGTTCTTTCAGTGAACACGTGTATATAGACGACCCGGTCAGGAGACGAAAGGAAAGGCACTGTTGTCCATTAGGTACCGTCTTCAAGCCTATGGACTTACCATAGATTAGTTACTTCAACCTCATGGGGGATGAAGTAGGTTTGATAGTCCCTGATCTATCCACCGCTTTCGTCCGACGCTACCATGTTAACGATCAACCGGCCGAGGGCTAGGCCGTCGAAAACGCAAAAGCGGCGACAGCATGAGCAACGGGTGCTCGAGCGACACTAGTCACTTTTATCTAGGCTTTAATACTTTAGACTCCTTCACGAAACCCCACATGACGAATAGTTCGTGAACTTCAACGAACACTGGGCTGGGAATATCTATATAACCTTAAGATACAATTATTATTTATTTCAGAGTTTTCTGTGTGAATGGAATTGATTGACATTGATTTAGTAACTTCGCGATGCTTCCAAATAGATTTTTCGCATCTGGTGCGTTTGCCCCTAATTCAGATGCACCTACGGCTCATACGCGGCACTCCTGAGGGGTGTTTGTCTCTGACTATGACAATTGGTACCTGCGGCTCCGGGATCTGATGTACCGCCGTCAAGCTTCATTTACCGCAGATTTATGGTTATCGTTCGTCTAGAGTAACCCATGTATGTCCCAAACGATGGGAGGGAGAAATTAAAAACCAGGCGATGATCGTGTTGGTTCGTTAGACCAGTTAATATTGAAAACTTTGTGTTGGCTCTGACACCTGCTACACATTTTGTCAGCTTATCGAGATCTTTGTTTTCTCCATTGGCTTCTTAATGGTTTGTGATCCTAGGAGGGCATCCACTGATTCGGAAGTGTGCAATAAGGTTCTGCGTGCAACTTGTCACCCTCGCCTCGCATGTCAAACCGTTCGGGACTCACTTTGCTTTTGGCTCTAGCGCATGGTCCGGAACTGGCATCTCTCGCATCCATCCACGACTTTCTGTCCCCTATCTCGGAGTGGGTCGCTTAGATAAGCAACCTTTCCACCACGGCTAAATTTGGTGATAGACCTTGGAAGTACGAATATGCATGGAGCCGCCTATTCTGATCCATGTGAGTCAGCACTCTTGTCCTTCATTGGAATCGGGCTGTTTTCCCGAGGTTGACAACCACATGGTTACTCATCATTTGTTATTAAGATTTTGATTGAACCTGTGCACACGCTGGTTGCACTAAATGAAACTGCTCTATGATACGCGGAAATTCAAAACCAGCACTGGCCAAAATTATGCTGCTGAACTCACATGTCTTCTATGTTAGCAGTGCTCGGTCTTTACCAGCAGCTCTAATGTTAATCATTAACTCCTCTAATGTCAGATTTCTCTCGCCTTACTCGGGACATTGTTTGGTGGCGTGCAGTCACACTCATTTCATGACGAGACGATCTACGGATGAAGCTTATGAAGCTGATTCGAGTGAACTCCTTTAAGGTTACTTGTCTGTGACCGCCTCCCAAGAGGTGATAATTATGACTACCCCCGTCAAACTATGAAATGTAACTGATATTTTAAAATCTGACCAGAGTGTTGGTGTTATCTTTTACTTCATACTGCTATTCATATGCGAAGATGATAGACAACTTCTCACATTTTTGCTGGTACGGGTGTTCTATTGGCTACATGGCATGGTTGGTTTCCGTGAGAGGGAACTAATCATCTTAACAACCGATCAATACATCACTGTGAGCCTTATGATACACCTAGATAGTATGACCGTCAGACTTCACTGTCACTCACCTCGGCCAGCCCGGTTGTTGTGCGGGATCGAGTGAGACCTCTGGAATTGGGAGAGTTGACGATTCCAACTTTTCGTTCTTCCAACTTTCCCCCGGATCGCGGTCGATTCATTGAAGAGATCGGAGGAGTGGACGGTGATTTTGAGTTTTTCAGAATTCGCGGTGATCTAATTCCATATGAACTCACACTGGAATCAACGCTGTCTCTGCTTAATCCGGTGGACCGGCTCCATAAGCCTTCATCTGTAACGGGATGAAACAGGCTTGTTTTGCATTGGAAATGACTGAGCGAACTCTCTGCACTTTTAATGGAACTACATTTCGCTTGATTAACTTTCATGCTTTTGCCTCGTCTGTTATCGTCATTGTCTACTGATCGCATTTTGATTGTAATACACACCTATCTGGACATATAGCCTCATAGAGATTCACCGGATATCATTGTTGCACGTAAAGTGAGGTGTGATTTATTCTTCTCCTTGCACTCGTATTGTTCAGACTCGAGAACTTGCACTTGTGATGCATTTCAATTCAAATAAATGGATCAAAGATTTCACTTACTGCCTAGGCGGTTCGACTCACGCTCTTCGAGAACGGGATGTTTGGTGCATTGGTCCATCGCGCCTATGTTATTTGCTTCGAACTTTGTTTTTTAATACATCCTAATATAATAAGGTTTAGTTACTATTACTGAAGTTATCCACATCTGCACCAGTTGATTCACGAATACCACTCTTGCGGGATAAAGGCAAGCCGACTGCTTCGCTGATTGATCGGGCGTCCATCACTTTCCCGAGGGTTTGGTCTCCCTTTGACTGATACACTGCGTTTCTTTGCTAATCCATTTCGCTACCCACCTTTTGCGTTGCATGGAGTATTCATCCAAAACAACTGTGGCTCTCTTGAAGGCTTTTATTCAGCACTACTACTTGCGTACGTGCAACGAACCTGCCGCCGCAGAGTCACTGCTACTCAGTCGTTTATCTGGTCAACCATTTTTAAATCGTATAATCTCATTGCCACAAAGCTACTAATTTTTTGCATCGGTGAGCTTCTAACTTCCCAAGGTCTAGACGTTTAGTTTTGGTGATAGGTTGGTGATGTGCAATGCGCGCCAACATCTACATCTACACTTGTTTTCTGGACAAGATATTCCTCCACTATCCCGCTTCGTAAGTCGGTTGCTTCGGCTCACTCTTTTTGATCCATGCAGTTAGGCTGCAGGCATACTTGGCTTGGGGCCAGTAGGTGTACCACACGACCATGTGCTCTCACCAGCTGGTAGTTTCGCTTTTGTTTGTTTTATTTTAAACGTAATTACCTCTTATGGATGAACAGTTGGTGCGGTCCGAGCTCCTAGCAGATGAGGGCACACCGCTATCGGGTGACGGGGTCGGTCGCGCGAATTGCGAGACCACTCTGTCATTCACACGCTGCGCGTTGCTTTGTCCGTGTTCATCGCTTTTAGATACCATTGTGGTTGATTGGTTTTCATGGTTGCTAGTGTGGGAAGGTGGGTCCTTTTCAGAAATTGATCTGGTCCTATCCGTCGGCGCTATCGTGGCTGGCGAATGTCCAACTGGACTCAAGACGGTCAGGCGAACCGTATCCAACTCGGAACCCACCAGGCACTGCATCACTTCATCGTGGCTGAATCGAGTGACGTCGATGTCATTGATCTATCAAAAACAGTGTCGTATAGAGGAGAAATTATGGCTTGGTCATGGTCATAAATGAAGCATGGCAAAATTGAACTGCAATGGGATGAACGGAGAAGCAGAAACCATAAGTAGCCTCGTTTTCGACTTACAGTCTCATAAACGGCGCTCCGCTAATATAGTTGTGGATTAAGCAGCATATCGAACAGAAAATAGCCACCAAAAATATATGGGAATACGTATCATGGTATTAATAATTGTCAATAGAAAGTCAGTACCATTATTTCTGATGCCGCAGTTAATCGCAAAAGTGATTTTCGAGCTGTGTGTGTATTGATTGAACCATGTTTGGCATTGAATGTGATTCAACTTAGGCACTTACACAGTGGGGGTAAGCGCTATTCGGGGCAACTTCGGTTTTCCACGTAAATAGCGCCACCAGATTCGCCTTCATCCCACGATATCGAATGTCCACTTTCTTCAGCCATCAAAACTGCTTCACATCACTGTTGCATCGAGTTGCAGATTTCGATTGATTCAAAGGAAAGCTAATCACTTTCGTGGTTTAGAGATATTGCGTACCTACTGTTATTCTATATTTATGATTACTTCACTGAAAAATCAAATAATGTTGCTGTGCAGAAGTGGAGACGTTTCGCTCACTGCTATGCGTCAACGGCTTGTACTTCCTTCGAGCCATTCGTGACGTATTGTTGTTGCTGTGTCGGCGCATGCCTTCTAAAAGTCATGGTTCTCAATCTGATTGAGTTTGTTAGCTCGAAGGTGTGCGAAGACTGATTTTATGTCCTGAAACGGTCTACTTTGGTGTGCATTTATCCCAACTTTCCATCCGATCTGAACCGGTTGGTTCGTTCAGATTACACAGTCGTACTTTAACGGACAAATCTAACTCTTCTGTTGACCTGATTGCTGGAAAAATGAACACAGACGGTAAGGCAAAAATGATACCACATTTCGGCGTGGAATCTAATGGACATGGTCCAGATGGGTTCATCCAGTTGGATTTTCCATGCTTTATTTCAGTTTATCGTAATTATACACATTAGCTAGAAGTGAGAAACGCCTCAGCTATTGTGCCTCAGTACAAAAATTGGATGCTAGAGAAACGGAGTGAGAAAGGAAATGAAAATAAAACGGAAGACTACATTATTGCGTCCGGACTGCGATTGCGGTCTTAGGGAAAGGACAAGCAGGAGTGGGACGGGCTAAGCACCATTGAGGCAGGTGCTTCGCCATATCGACCAGTGTATGCAGTCTAACCAGCCAGTCGAATACTCAAACCAAAGCCACTCCTTCCATCCACGCCCCGGTTGCGCAAGCAACGTACGTCGCGAGTGTGTGTCCTCATGCGTAGCACATGACAATCATCAGAGCCTGTTGCGTGAAATAATGACGCCTTACGTTTGACTCCCTCTTCCTGCACCAAATACGAGACACCGAACACGCTCATTGCTCAAGCGCTGTTCCCGCCAGATAAGCTAAACTGCGAAGACATCGGTAGTTGAACGTTTGTTGATTGGATGGGTAAGTTTCGAAACCGTACAGTAGAGTTGAACGCATGACTGCAATGTGCAGTGACCTTCACAGCGGGAGTGATGCCGTGTCTGCGCCACAAGTGTCGGAGATTAGCTAAGATACATTGTGCTTATGCTTGACTTCCTCTTCTATCCCATAGGCCCTGCCCGGGTAGTTTAATTTCCGAATGACGACCAGCTGAGTTCCACCAAGGATCGATGGAGTGGGAATCCCTGCCAATCATGAGGGCAACATTTGCATTTGGAGGGTACAAAGCACAACCCATAACGGTCAAGATCCACTACTGATGGGCCCAGTACTGTTTTACGCGTTCGTAAACTCCCACATGTTAGGGAAGTGTCGTCGGCATACTCAAAGACAATAATTCCATCACCTGGGAGCAACTCCACACTTTCTCAATCGTGTTCAGTGGACGTGGTTTCCATAAATTCATCAACGGTGATAATAATAAGGAGAGGGGACAGCGAGTATTCCTGTCCCACTCTATGGAGATATTGAAGGGCGGCGACAGTTTCCTATAAGCCTTAAGTTTGCCTGTACTATCCGCATAAAGTTATCTGACAAGGTTCACGTATTTCTCGGGCACCCTTCCTAGTCAAACAGTCCCGAAGGGCGCATCGGTCTACCGAATGGAAGGTGCTTTTGGTGTCCAAGAACACGACTAGGGTGAGTGGCCATTATAAGTGGCGGTGCTCCAATAATTTACGTGAAAATGTCCTCATTGCAACCTCTATTTCTACGGAACTCTTCACGAGTTTGGCTTTTACGATTGTCAGTCAGTCTATAGAGAACAACAAGAGCGAGTAACTTGAAGGCGTTAGGGATCAGGCTGATACCTCCGTAAATGCCGCATTTCAAACGTGAACCACCCTTGAAAATCGGTGCGGCTTGCTAGGAAGTAAATCTCTAAGCAAGCAGTCGACCATTAACCAGCCGTCAAATCAGACGAGGGACGACTACTTCACAGCTGCAGTAGATTTGGATGACTTCCTGCTCCAACAGTTTCATGAATGGATCGTGCAGACAATTCACAAAGGCAGATCTCCCGTATTTGAGGAGGGCTGGAGGCAGATCTCCTGGTCCTGCGGCTCTATTCCATTTCAGTTGTCCGATGTCATTTTCGACTTCAACGTGAGAGGTCGGATTAACGGGAACGAATCAGGGAATAGGGCGATCATTGGCCAATAGCTACTAGTAAGGTCTTGAGAACATGCGATCGGTGACCCTCAACTCTATCCACTGAGCGCTTGTTCAACTCAACTTTGATACGCATTCAGAACATCGAGTTTTGCCAATTCGCTGGTGTCTATAAGCTCACACCGTCGTCCACCGGAATGCACCTGCAGATCAGCACACACTACTGCATTTTCGGACTCCATGCTTGTACTCTAATTTGATCAGCAGTTTTGGACACAACTTCTCCAACGGCAACTGATTGTGACGTGGTGGATTCGCTTCCGAGGTTGGTGGGCGCCGTGTCATTCTTCTGCGGGTGTTGTGTTGGAAGTTAGTGCTTACGAGAAATAGACGAGCGTCTTCACACAGTTGCAGCAACCGCGCACCGTGATCATTACGGGAGCCTACATTGTGTTGGCCGCCCAAATGCAGCTCATAAGTGGAGAATTTTCCAGCTTGAGCGTTCAAATTACTAGTCGGCACTACGGTTTCCGTGCTACTTCTAATGAGAAGCAGTACGTTCGGTTGGTGATAAAAGTCATCTTTCCGCGAGTCAGCGTTACCATTTGAGGAGGCCTAGGTAGTAATGACAAACAGGTGTCTATTGCCCTCGAGCGACCTCGGATGGCGCAACTCCGGCCACGGACTGAAATCCATTAAGACAGAGAAGCTTCAGCCCGATAGCTCAGAGCAATACTTACACAGGCTTGACTAACATACAAAACTGCATTAGCTTCAGATAGACGCATTGAGAAAGTACCGCCAGTGTAATATAAAGGGGATTGTACAGCAAGCACAGAGCTCAAGTTTTCAGTCGGGCTTCCGATAAACAACAATTATCGATCTATTGGGTCTCCAGTGTTCGGGTAATTGCTGCATATTGGCCGATCTGTGACAGTGCGCGCTTTGAGACATGTCAGTCTTAGGGAGGATGGAATACACCAAATAGAAGTTGTCTGCATGGTTGGATATGGACTTGTCGACAGGAGAGAATTGACTCCGCGATTGTGTGTTAGTTAAGGCTAAGAGACAAACTCATGTCAAAGCAGTGTGGGGTGGTAAGAATCTGGGATAGAAAACCGAGTGGTAAAAGTGTAGTTGGAATGGGACGATAAGGATGAATAAGCGCAAGGGGACAATTTGTAGACGAGAAGTCGTAAGCAGTAGCCTCTTCACCCCATCGACCCCGCTCGATGCAGAAGATAGGTCGCCGTTACTTATGCTGTGCGACGATCAGAACATGAAAAGACTGAAGAGTAGTTCACTGTATTGTGTGGTCAGGATACTGTCAGGTTTTCGAGGGTTAAACAGAAGAACGATTTGGGTTTTCAACCAAAGCCTTTGGTTCAAAAAATTAAGAGCGTTGCAGCGAGAGTTTGACAGTGGACTACAAGAAGTTTTGTTAAGGGAAATGACGCCACCCTCATTCTAAGCCCAAACATGGAGGGCTAGTAGACTGGTTTTGTCTGTCCTCTAACCATTGACCAATTTAGTATGTGTGGGACCAATTTAGTATGTGTGGCTCTAAACTTATCAGATGCACCACTCAGAACACCTCAGTGGACTGTTGCCGCGTGCAAACCATTGCACTACGATAAAGTCTAGCGTCAATGTGATGTTGGTCATCTACCATCGTTCTCGGTTACACTGCCAAGTAGTTACCTACCACTTGCTAATTCAACCGAGAACAATTATCCTTTCTTTCAGATTTCATCCTCTTCCTGCCTCCATTCGATGATATAGCGGACACATGCTCGTCAGTGTTTGTCCGGTTTTTACACATCAAACGAGCTGCTATTCTCGAGACTTTTTGTGCTATCCCCTAGTTACAAACATGTGTCATTCGAAAAACTTAATTGGCTAACATATTACATAGGCCCGGAAGTGTACTCGCTTAGCATGTAACGCGGTCCCTACCCGCTATACCACAGAACCGACCGCTGACTGTCAATCGCGAGTGAATACGCTTGTTTACTCTGACGGCGTCGGCTGACATGACGTTCGTAGTATTTCGTCACCACAGTCTGGTCACACTTGGAGTACTAATGGTGTGTTGCCTCACAGGGTTTGTATTTGTTTTCCCAAGAAGTTGCACTGAATGTTCCATGTGTGACATGAGTACTCAGTAAATGCAGGACACCTACAGAACAGTCATGTCACTCATCCACATGTACTCTGACCTCAGCTCTAGTTACATACATTGAGTATTCGCTGTTGGGTGTCAATCGTGCGACTCAGACGCTTCTGGGCCTCTGAATATCCTGAACTTGTTAATGGCTGAGGCGCTA